AAAAAAAAAAAAAAAAAAAAAAAAAAAAAAAAAAAAAAAACGCCCAGCCCCCGCACCATTGGGCGTCGCAGGCCCCATGGTGCAGAAGTCGCGCAACGGTGGCGTGTACCCCGGCACTAGCGGGGAGAAGAAGCTCAAGGTGGGCTTCGTGGGGCTGGACCCCGGCGCGCCCGACTCCACTCGCGACGGCGCGCTGCTCATCGCGGGCTCCGAGGCCCCCAAGCGCGGCAGCGTTTTGAGCAAGCCGCGCGCGGGTGGCGCGGGAGCCGGGAAGCCCCCGAAGCGCAACGCCTTCTACCGCAAGCTGCAGAATTTCCTCTACAACGTGCTGGAGCGGCCCCGCGGCTGGGCGTTCATTTACCACGCCTACGTGTAAGTGGCCAAACGATGTGGTGCGCGGTGGGCCTGCGATACCCTAGCCCGGCCGTGGGTTGATTGCGGGCGCAGCTGCGGAGGACTGAGGGGGCCCTGGTGTGCGTGTCCCCGCTCGCGCTTGGGTCGCGTCGTGGGCGTGGGGTTTGGGTCACGGCACTGCAGTCTCTGGTTAAAGCGAAGGACAGAGATTGGAGAGTGACTTTGGAGATCATTCTGGAGTCACTGATTTTTTTTTTTTTTTTTGCACGCGCGGGGGGGGGCGTTTACGGCTGCCTGGCTGGGTTGTACCAGCCCTTCCCCCGCAGGACGGGATGTGCTGGTGCCCCAGCCCCCCTCAGCCGGAGAGGCCCCTCCCCACGACCCGCAGCGCGGAACAAAGGGACGGCGAGGAGGGAGGGCGGCTAGGCTCTAGGTTTGAACTCATCAGCCGCTTTGCACCCATGGGTCTCTCCGACAACCAAGTAGGGGTGGTGAAGAGGGCTGGCTTCTTCTCATCCATCCTCCTAACCTCTTGCTACCCTTCTGAGCTTCCGGGTTGCAGAAATGGGGAGGGGACCTAACATCACATCACCTCAGCGCCGGGCTGAGGGCACCTGCCTGTACCCATTCCTGGAGGCCCACTCACCTTGTCCTCTACACTCCAAGCAGCCCATTTGCACCTGCTGATGGCCCCTCTACACATTCTGGGCTCCAAATCCCTAAGTGGAGACCAGCAGTAGGGACCACTGTTGACCCCCAAAACTGCCAGCTTTGGGCCTGGAAGGGACTGGTCCTTGCCTCCAAGTCTGAGATTCAGCTGGCATGGGGCAATCCTGTGTTCATGTGCACATGAGTGTCTGTGTGTGTGTGTGTGTGTGTGTGTGTGTGTGTGTGTGTGTTAGGATGCATAACCTCCCAGTGCAAGAACGCTGACTCTCCCATTCCAGTGGAACCAGGGACAGAGGAGGAGCACTGAGACTCGGCCATTTTGTATGAGAAGCATTTGGGGATGGGAGTGAGATTCACGTTCAGGAAAAGTCTCTATCAAGGTGCTCACCTGTCCTGGCCTCGGCTGGGTGTGTGTCTGTGAGTGTTCTGTATGTGGTTTAGATAGGTCTGGGGACAAGGGAAGGTCCATAGCGGGAAATTCTGAGCTGCTTGCAGAATGATGTCCAGAGGGTAGCCACAATTGGTGTGTGTGTGTGTGTGCGCGCTTCTATGGACAGTCCTGAGATTTCTCCAAGGCAGAGGTTTTTCCAGATAGGCTGGCCAAGACGAGCAGCCCATGGATCAACTCCTACCCCCTCCAGAGAGGTAAATTTGATTTTCCCTTGCCCAGGGTGCTGTGTTTCTCTTCACTCCAAGGAAGAGCCCATGTGTCCTTCAGCTACAGTCATTTTTTCCATCCCTGCTTGGGGCACAAGGGTTTCTGCTGTGGTTGGCTGTAGACAACCAGGTCCTGGCCCCAGGTGACCCCTGGGACACAGACAGGATGGAATCCTGCGTCCACAGGGCTGGATGTGGATATCCAGGATGGCAGCATCATCTAGGATTCTTTTTTGAGTCTGTAGCCTTTATGGGACCCTGTCCTATCCCTGGGTCTGACTTGTCAGTTTTTCTCTGTTTCTGCTGCCTGCATCCTGCTTCCTAAAAGCAGCATCATCCAGAGCTCAGAGTCCAGCATGGGAAGTCCTTGCTTTTTGGGCTCTGTGTCCTGCTCCAGCTTACCTATCCCCACGTCAGCCCCAGTTCATCAGAGAGCAACCCCTGTCCCTGAAGTGTGCCAGACTTTAGGGCACACTTCAGGGTTTAGAACTTTAGGGTTTAGACTTGTAGCATGAAGGCGTCCTTCTTCAGCCTACTGCAGGTCCCTTGGCTTCTCTATTTTGTGTCTAGGGCTCACAGGGAGGTGCCTGGGGGCTGGGGGCAGGAGGGAGAGCATTGAAGAACAGAGGATCTCTGATTGCTAACTTGGAGCCAAACACAAGTGTTTAGTCTCAGAACCTCCGATAGCCGTATCTTTTCATCAGCAAGGCGGTAACAGCCACTCCTGGCTCCCTGAACTTTATATAGACCAACTGAAATTTTCTAGGCTGCCTATTGATCCCATTGTGAACCATGACACATCTCTGACTGCCTTTCTTGCTCATGACCTATCCCCCCAGCTTCCAGACATGGAGTCCTCCGCACTGACTTCTGGATTTAGGCAGTCCAATGACTTGAGATTCCTGAGCCTGTGTTCAGCCCTTGTGTTGACAGTTGCCCCCCCCCCCCCCGGGACTAGGCCATGCTGTGTGCTAGGCAGTATTTGGTTTGTTCTCTAGTTATCAAGGAAGATACAGCCCCTTCTGGTATCTCGTGGGGAACAGAGCCAAGGCTCATAGAAGTGAGTCCCTCATCTAAGCTGTGCTGGATTTCCCTGGGCTACTTTCCTTCTGCCTTTGGCCATCAAAGCCTGATTTGTGAGAGGTGAAGTTGGACCAGCCTCTTGTCCAGTCCTGTTGGCTTTCTGAAGGTCAGCCGCTGTCCAGAGTCAGGAGAGAGGTGACCACCCTTGGTTTGGACTCTGGTGGTCAAGGCCAGTCGGACCCACCGTCCACAGGGCTCTGCTTACAAAGTGATGCCATGATGTACTGCTCATGAGAGATAGTTTCAGAAGCAGCTCTGTACTCAGCTGGAGCAGGGGCGGGGGTCACCCAGGCAGAGACACTGTGGATTGCCTGGCTCTTTTCAAGGGTGAGCCACAGCAAAGACAAATCTAGACAGAGGTGGGAGTATTATGGGGGCCTTAGAGGAATCAAATCCATCTGTTGTGCTCAAGAGAGCTGGATAGGAGCTCCAAGTAACTCGGAACATGGGGAAAGGTTGCTGGGTCATGGTGCTCCTACCACACGCTAGCCTTATTGCCTCATGGCCAGAGGAGCTGGGTGGGGAAACCGAAGCTGAGAGGATTTTCTTGTGTAAGCAGAGAGGTGGCCTGCCTTAGAACTGAGAGTGTGGACAACTTGGTCTTTTTAACATCCAGGCCAGCGGCCAGCTAGAAAAAAAATGGCATTTGAAACAGCTAAGTAAAAAAACAAGTCATGAGGATTTATGCTATGGATTCTGGGCTTGCCCATGGCTCATCTCTTTGGGCTGATCACCAAGACCCCTCTGTCCACTGTGTCTAAGTATTCCCATAGGGGCCCAAGGAGTCCCAGAACCATTGCCAGAGGCTGTCCGACTAGGTAACACCTCCCATTTCACAGTAAGAGCAGCATTCATGATCAGGTTCAAGGGTCTTTGGGTGCTTTGGACCCAGATAGGCCTCCTTCCCCAGTGGAATGGTGTCTAGGCTGCCTTGTAGCTCTTTCTCATTCCCCTTAATTGCTTTTAGTTCCGAGGCTGGTAAGAACTGTAGAAGTTGGAATTGGTGGGTCATTTGAGGAGTAGGTACAGGCCTGGTCCTCACTAGAGCAGACAGAAGAGGTGTTGACTTGGACTTCTAAGGCCTGGTCTCCGACTGTGTGGTTTATGGCATTTGGGTAAGAACCCTGATCACTGAGTGGTGGCATGTGCTCAGCTTCTCTCAAGTAGCAGGTCTTCCTGCAGCCTCATTGATTGAGATTCAGAAAATCTTATGGAAATTTCCCAAAAGATGGGAATACCTCAGAGAGTTGTGGTTTCCAGGGAAACCTATGTTTCTTCCCCGGCCTGCTCACAGTTTCTAACCCTCAATGATAACTCAAACAACACTGAAGAGATAGAAAAATTGCAGTCCCTCTGCCCTGGTTATGTGTAGAGTAAATCTTTAAACACCCTTGCATCTGCAAAGAAACAATGAATTAGCAAGTAGGCAAGGAGCTCTCTGGGTAGCATTCCAGATGAGAGCAGGGAAACCTCATTTTTACGGACACTAACATGAGTCAGGTATGTAAAGTCATCTATACGGAGACTCAGAAGGGCCCACAGCATGTTGGCCAGCCTGAAGAAATTTGACATGGAGGTTGCTATGTGCTGGGAATGCTCCCAAGTGCTGGCCTTGTAGGTAGGAGGCCTATTTCTGATTCTGAAAGTACTTGAGCCTGGAGTGCTTTCAAGGAGCCAGGGACAGTGTCTAAGTACAGATGGAACCCAGTGGTGAATGTGGGGTATTTTAGTGTCCAAGGAGCAAAATACACAGGCTTCTATAGATCCTGAGGATCTTGGCTATGCCATTGCACGCTGGGTGAGGTGTTCTGACCCCATTATTGAGAGAACAGGGTCCCTCAGTTGAAGTGAGGAGGGTGAGTCCGCTACTTATTGTAGGGTTGAATCTGGGGAAAGGGTCAAGTCCTTAGGACCAAGGGCTCTTTGGAGAACTGTGGAGTGTACTAACAGCTGGATTTGAGCATGTGTGGGCTGAATTGACATGGGGAAGCATGGAGAAAGGATGTGGCGTGTGCTGTATGCCATCTGTGTATCCTTGAAGTTGGATGAAAGGGTTGGCCCTGGCCCTGATCCTGGCCATATCCTTTAAAGGCTGAAGTGACACTAGTGAGCCCCATTCTGGGAGGAGAGTAAGCTCTGAGCTGGCCACTGTTGTCCCCTCGCAATGCAGAGTTGATGAGGGGGATGCTTCTTTTCAGGGACTTTCTTATTATTACAGATAGCGCTGAGTGAAGCAGACCACCTTACCACATAACTGCCTACGTGTCTTCCACCCACCAAGTTGCACCTTTGTGCTATGGCTGCTGAAGGTGGGGTTGGCAGGGGACTCTTATCACCTCTCAGGGGTGAAGGATGACAGGGTGGGACTGAGGGTTCTGGATGGCCCTCCTGCCACTGACTAGTTCCAGATTCTGGACTTCAGTTTCCTCATCCATCATACGTGAGCGATGTTCCTAGGTGGGTTTGAATTTGGATCATTAGACACAAAGGTTTATAGGTACTGATGTTCATGGATTATGCCGCCTGAGATTTGGCAGAGTGAGACCTTATCCAGTGGATGTGGAAGAGTGGGGACCACAACTGACCCAGTTGTAGGCAGTGACTTTCCG